TATGAACATAATTTGCATTTATTGTGCATTACAATAATAATAATATGTTTTGTTAAAGAACTGATTTGACACGGTATGCGGAAATTACCAAAACTGCCATACATGTACTATATTTAGCACATATAAATGTATGGCTATAAACAGGTACAAATAATGTCATGTAATTTGTATGTCTGTTGTTTAACATGCAAATTACGAAGCCTAGTACAAATATTTTTATGTAATTTTAATAATAATTAAGTCAGCAGGATAAATGATACATATGTGAATTTTCTCCCTTATTTCAATAAATAGTAGCATTCACTTATAAAATGTCTGATCCCTGAATTTATAAAGATTATTTTTGCATTATACATGTTATACAAAAATTCTTTAAAAATTATTATCATCAGATTATGGCAAATAGGAACCATCTTCTTATATTTTTTGGAAGCATGCAGTTTTGACATCTGCAGTTGGATTGGTTTCATTATTTACTGTACTGCAGTTGAGAAATGATTCTCGTATGCAAGGGGTTTAAGAGAGCACCTGCTTTAAAAGCTTTCAATGTAAACTTTGTATTTTTGTTGAAAAATTATGATTTAGGTCATACTATTTTTTTTAAGCTAACTTAATCTTAAACTTTTTAGAGACAGTATGCAATCATTCAACAAAACGTGATCCAAATTGAAAGCATCCATTTGTGTGTATCATCATAGTTAACACTGTACATGCAAAGGTTTCAAATGGAGGGTCATGACAGTGGTTAAGTGCTACTTGCTAAGGGGAGATACTAAATTATAGGAGGACTATATATAAGCTGGGTAATGAAAGGAGTGAAGATTTAGAGTTGTCTAACTTGGATGCCATGAATGGAGAATTTTTTTTTACACCTGTAAAAAAGACTTGTATTTTGTCAGAAAGATCCTAAACCTTCTCTTTCAGAAAATTTTCCAGATAAAGATTGTATATTCTTTCGCCATGTTTCTAGGAGTACATTGAAATAGTTTCATTATGAAGTCTTATTTACTTGAAAATGGTGGTACACTGTACATAAGATGTTTTGTTTATAAAAACCTGTATCAATTTGATTTTCTCTGTTTTTTCTTTCTTAATTTTGAAAAAGCCAGAAGGCATTACTGGTATAGGTACATACAAAATATTTCAGAAAAAAAAAGATGAAATTGGCAGTGAAATTGATTTAATTATCATAGTTAATGAAAACGGTTGTCTAAATTGAATTTCTTAATTTCTTTGTAAAATGTATTCAGTTAACATTGTTTTATGATTTTTTTTTTTTTTTTTTGGTGTGGCTCGAATAGCAATATTGTCTCCATGCAGTATGAAATTATTTTCTTTTTTAAAAAAAAAAAATGCCTTAGATCTTAAAAGGTGGTATTTTTATCCTTTAATGAAATTTAAATTTTAGATAATAAGGAAAAGTAATAAGTGCATTGTTGGCAGTAAATTCTAATAATAAAATGTAACAACTGCTCTGTAAGTGGCTTAAAATGCATAATAGCGAGTGATGAAGTTTTCACGTTTTTACTAATTAATTAAATTTTCTCAAACTTGCATCAAAATTAGTAATTCTGTGTATTTTTGGAATCTATTTGTAATGTTATATAAATATATATTTATATAGATATATCTTACATGTCTTATTAGCTTGTCAAGCCTGACCTGACAAAAGGTCAACTTCGTTCTTGACAATAAAAAATACCTGTCATTAAGGAGTTTTTAAATTTCTCCATCTTCAGAGTCACGATTTAAATTTGATTTATAAGATGTACGTGTAATTGTAAATTGTAGCTATATTTATTTATTTAATTAAGTTTTATACTGCATGGTCATTGATTTAATTGGTATTAAGTACACAAGCTGCACATTAAACAGATTATAAATTGTATCTGAAATAAATCTTTCTTCATGCAGTCAACCAAGCAACATCACATAATAATTAGCCTTTAATTTAGCATTTATATATAAATATTGCATGTAGTTGAGTGTAACATTGAAAATTTTCACCCCAAGAAAACCATTGTCAACCAAGGTGCAGCTGACAATGGTTTTCAATGAGAGAAAATTTTCAGTGTTAATACCCTCAACTACATGCAGTATTTATTTTATTATTACTGAATGTTTTATACAAATCCAAGATTAGGGTGAAGCATGCAAGAATGGATTAGCACAGTCAGTATTTTTGGAACATCAGTTTTATCACCCGTTGTCAAGCAACTGTTGACTGTTGCTAAGTTCTGTCGCACTGGAGGGTGTGGTTTCATCATTCAGAAGCTAACAGTATTTTTTAACAAATATTTCTCAAATCAAATTCAAGGAATTTACATGATAGTATAAGATTAAAGCATATATGCTTGGGGATATACCTGTCCCTTGTATATTTATGTAAGAAATGTGCTTGTTTTAAACAATAATACATATTTTAAAGTTTTACAGCTGTTTGATGAGCTGTGTTTGTACATCTAGAAATTTTGTATTGTACAAAAAAATGCTTACCATATTCTCCCTATTAAGTGTCCTCAAACAATTATAAAAATTTGGATAAAAGACTTTTCCATTTTCCTGATCATGACAAGGAGCACATGGTGGGTGTGACCAGTCAGCAGGGGATGCTCAACTTCTCCATTGCACCTGATCCGGATGATCCCTACCTCTGATGTTTTAAGAGGTTGGTGTTTGCTCCTGTATTGTGTAAATGGACTTCTTTATTTCTGTTCGTTTAATCCGATCTTCGTATTTCGATCATAAGAGAGTGTATGGTTATTTAAAGCAAAGGGTATCATTAAATAGTTTATGTTTACACTCTTATAGCCCTATAACCATTCAATAATTTCTAAAAGACAAAAAATATTCCAGATTCTTAAACCAGTCACACAGTCACTGACATGGTCAATTTCATCAGACATTTTTATTTATTAATGGTTTTGAAGGTAGGACTTGTGGATTTGGGAACTTTGATAAGGTAATAGAACAAGGCACTTATTCTCCAACAATGGGGAAATGCTAATTAAGGGAGTGCTTATAGGGGAGAATATGGTATTATCAGATGCACAAAACCTTCCTGCTCTTAGTGTAGTATGCTATATACTAAGTGCAAAAAAAAAAAAAATTTCTTATTTCAGTATTACATTTGCAAACCTGCTTTATTAATTAAGGTCTATGCAATTTTGTGTTTTTCCCTTTTCTTACATGAACATGGAACATGCTTTACACATCAAGTAGTAACAAATATGTCACACCTTCGTCACCTTGGTCTCCATTCATATATAGCACCATATAGCTTAATGGTGAGCAAGGTTCTATATTATTAAAGAAAAACTTATGTTTAAAAAAGTCATGTACAAATTTCATTCTCAGAACGTTAACATTTGCTCCATTATATTTATAAGTCACTTAAGTGGTCTCAGGCTGTGGTCTAATTTCTAGTCAACAACTCAGATGGATATATTTTTTTTTCATGTTGCTTTTTGACATGATAATGTGTTATTTGAGCTAGCTGTGTTTGAAATCAGGAAGTATGTTGAAAGCAGGAAATGGCCCTCATCACCAAGGAACCAAGAATCAAAACGGATGTAATCATGTGAATTGTTTTGTTTTTTAAACTCATATTCTGCAGTACCAGACAGGATAAAGTGCTGATGTTGCATACCACAGAATGTATTGTGTCTAACTGTTGTATATCAATCACATCTGATTGAGATAGATTTTTGCAATATCACACACTGATTTATGGAAGAATGAAAATGTCTCGAAATGCTCTCTGTAGACTCCAGCCTTCATGGTTATACAGTACTGATCTGTTTGGTGTGATTGGGTTGATATATTGGATTTCATTATAGGGCCACACAAGGAGGGAATCTTATGGTATAATCACTCTGTCTGTCTGCTTGTCCATCTGTCTTTGTTTTCTCAAATTCCCACATAACTTTTTTTATGGTTATCCTAAAGTCACAATAACATCATCTCAGCCAGGATATCCTTTTATTTAAAATCAAAATTATTAATTTGGAAAGAAATTTAATTGTTATTTATCATGTTTATGCTAGCTATATTTTGTGTGTTTGATATTTGACAAATGACTTCCAGAACCATAACCACCAGAATTATATGCCATGCATAATTAATAAAAATTATCTGGCTTGGGGTAGATGAGTATCCCATTTTTGACCCTCCCCTCTGTCTTTCTCCCAACCAGAAACCTGGCTCAGGGGCCATAAAACTGAGATGAGCTAACTTTTGATCTTGGTCTCACTTTTACAAAAGGAATATTATAGTGGAAAAGGGAGACTGAGATCAAAAGTGAGCTCGTCTCAGTTTTACGACCCCGGAGCCTGGTGACAGCCCTTCCTCAGCAGACCATTACTGAGTGGTCTGTTTTTTAGTTCTAATTTATATTATTGTACATGTAAAATCTTGAATATTTCTCCATGATTCTTATCGATCGACTTAAAATACATGCCTTCAGTCTGTTGATGCTGCAGTCAGTGATGTGGGATTTTTGTTTTAAAGAGAATTTATTAAGGATATATTAATTTTTAAAAGTATTGAGTTGCTCAATATTTTCACAAAGAAATTTATTGCAATTAGCACTAGCTGGTAAACTGATCATATAATGGGAAAACAAAAAGCAAAATGAATGACTTCCAGGCATGTGAAGATTTTACAAAAATGCAATTTTGACAAAATTGAACTTTTAATATACTTACTAGTAAAGTTATATAGATTTCACACTTTCCCCTTGATATTTACCTAGTATTATGGTTTTGCTTGACATATGTTTGAGATTTATATCAGGACCACTGGGCTATATCCTTCAAATTATCAACCAGTAAATCTGATGTGCCTGCTGCATTTGCGTTTTCTTTTGTCAGTATTTGGACTTTATAGGGGACTTTTATGACGGGATATTTAGCTGTCACTCACACATTAAGCCATCAGTGTTGACAAATTAACGCTTTTGTTAATTACAGGAGTGGACGTTTAACATGCCTTGCTGATGTCTGAAGGCTTAACGCACACCGACTGACTGTGTCCACAGAGGGAGGAAAGATTGAGAGGTGTCTCAGGGTCTACCCTGTTTCATATTAAGGTAGGAGCATGATTTGTTAAATACGAAAAGGTGACATATTTTGTCACCTGTGTGACAGGTAGGTAGGACAAGATATATATACCCTGGAGTAACATTTTAAGTGACAGCCCTGTTGTGATTGGGTTCTGATGTGTGGATGAGATCACTCTGACAACCATGTAATGCAGTGATATTTTCTGAGTTCCGGTCTTTTCATCTGTCTAGATTAAGAAATCAATGTTTATCTGTCTGCTATGTTTTTCCTATATGTAAACATATAAAATATGATACTTTTAAATGCTCCACTCTGGTTTTATATAGAAATTGTAAGAAACATGTAGAAATTTATATATTGAATCTTGTTGGACAATATTAAGAGTATACAGTCAAACTTCGTTATCTCAAAGTTAATGGGACCAAGAAAAAACTTCGAGATATCCGAGGATTCGAGATATCCAGGGTAAAATACTTAAAGAATAAGGGGGTCAGGACTTCCAAATCACTTAGACATATCCACGGTATTCAAGATAATCAGTGTTCGAGATACCGAAGTTCAGCTGTATAATATAAATAAAAATATAAAACCATATCATTGAAAAAAAGGTGATCTAGTGGTTTATAAATTATCCTGCTTCTTATTAATTGGGGACATGAATAGATATTTATTCTTTACCTTTGAGTAATGAAATTTGAATTTTATCTGAGATGGTATTTATTAAGGGAGACAAATATACCATAAGTCCTCTGTGTTTCAACGTGTTCAATAATTTATTAGTTTTTGAGAAAGTTAATGGTTTGTAATATGTCTATTCCGAATAATAATTCCCTGATTAATTGTGAAATGAATCAATCATACTTATAATTAAAGTCATCAGAAATTGTTGGTGGCAATTAACAGTCAGAATTTTGGGCTTCTTGTGAGAATATTACCAACATAAGAAGGTTAATGGAAGGAAGTCTTGATTTTGGGATGTTTTTCTTGCATGATTTATATTTTTTATAATTAATTTTTAGGAAAATATTACCCCCCCCCCTTTCCTTCATTTAAAGCTTGTTATGTTTTGTTGGTTGTATATGCATGTGTAAACAATTTGTAGACAAACTTGAGATACATACATTTATGTGTGTATTAAGTTTTTTTTTTTCCCTTTCAAGATGATGCCCTTGGTTACTGTAGATTCCTTATTTTACGCGAGTACTTAACATCGCGAAATGGCCCAAGGGCGTCAAATCGCGAGAACAATAATTCACGAATGGGTGATTTATCTAGAGATTTTACATACATTAAAGCACCATAAAAATAAAAGCAAGTAATTTTATTTCGCGAGTAGTGCTTCTCGCGTAATTACGTGATAATTAACTCCTCGTGTATATTTAGGAATCTACAGTACTCTAAAGATCCTTTAATTTGTTAAGAGTCTTTCACAAGTTTTGGCCTCATTTTAGTGAAACCTTGCACACAAGTTTAGACCTCTCCTAACGGCAGAATTCTTAATTTTTTTTTTGTTGAGGACAGGTGTTACATGTAACACATGGCTACTAAAAATACAAAATACAAATCGTGGTTTCTATATTTTGATGTTATATTTAGCTCATCTGAGCCAGAGTTCTGAATTTAGATGTTTAATGAGTAGGGATGGGAAATCCGAAATTTTTTCATAATCAATTATCGGAATAATCGGATGCACTATAATCGATTAATAATTAATCTATTGATTTCAAGTCTTAAATTTGTTCATTTTTGAATGAAGAATAAATTGGTGAAAAATTCTGGGGTGATTTCTAAAATACTTTTTTTATGTATTTTAATTGCATCATTTGATTCATTTATTAGATTATTACTTAGGATTTAGTAATTTTCAAAGAAGAATGCATAAAAAATCATAGAATAATTTACTTTTAATTAATATTTGATTAATCGATTATTCAAATTATAATCAATTATCTATAATCGTGGTTCATTTCGATTAGATAATCGATTTAATCAATTAATCGGTACATCACTATTAATGAGATAGTTTTAATGTGACCCTCCGTGACTTAATTTGGTAACCAAATTAGGTCAGGAAATGTATCATCTTAGACTGACCTTTGCAAAAATATTCTACAAAATTTGATAATGTATTCTTTAATTTGTCCATTGAAGTATTTTGATTTTTAGCTCACCTGAGCTGAAAGCTCAAGTGAGCTTTTCTGATCACCTGTTGTCCGGCGTCCGCCCGTCTGTCTGTCTGTCCGTCTGTAAACTTTTCACATTTTCAACTTCTTCTCAAGAACCACTGAGCCAATTTTAACCAAAGTTGTTACAGAGCATCCTTGGGTGAAGGGGAGTTTAAATTGTTAAAATGAAGGGCCAACTCCCCCTTACAAGGGAAGATAATCAAGAAAAGACAAAAATTGGGTGGGGTCATTAAAAAATCTTCTTCTCAAGAACCACAGGGCTAGAAAAGCTGAAACTTATGTGGAAGCATCCTTGAGTAGTGTAGATTCTAAATTGTTCAAATCATGGCCCCCACGGGTAGGGCGGGGCCACAATAGGGAATCAAAGTTTTACATTGAAATATATAGGCAAAATCTTTGAAAATCTTTTTCTGAAGAACCACTGGGCCAGAAAAGCTGAAACTTATGTGGAAGCATCCTTGGGTAGTGTAGATTCTAAATTGTTCAAATGATAGCCCCCGGGAATAGGGTGGAGCCACAATAGGGAATCAAAGTTTTACATTGCAATATATAGGCAAAATCTTTGAAAATCTTCTTCTGAAGAACCACAGGGCCAGAAAAGCTGAAACTTATGTGGAAGCATCCTTGGGTAGTGTAGATTCTAAATTGTTCAAATGATAGCCCCCGGGGGTAGGGCAGGGCCACAATAGGGAATCAAAGTTTTACATTAAAATACATAGGCAAAATCTTCTGATGAAGAACCACTGGGCCAGAAAAGCTGGGTAGTGTAGATTCTAAATTCTTCAATTCATGGCCCCCAGGGGTAGGGTGGGGCCGCAATAAATATTACAAAGGGGAGGTCTTGTGAAGAACAGGGCCAAAGTAACTCAGGTGAGCGTTGTGGCCCATGGGCCTCTTATTTTGTTTCTTAATTTGTCAAGTGTCATTAGAATGTTTCTCTGATTTTATGTCGGAGAAATCAATCCATTACTGTCTAGTTACAGTGCATTTTACTACCCAGGTTTTTTTTTTTGGGGGGGGGGGGGAGGGGATAATATACCCCATTTACCATTTCTCTTGGGATTTTAAGTTTTTATTAAAAATATTTAAAGTTATTGTCTATACACAAATGAAAACAACATAAAATTTTCAACTGGTTACTGAGATTTGCTATCTTTAACCTGTTACAAATATGACAAATTCAATAATACCAATGATGTAACATCCTATCAATTTGCACTCTGTAAATTAGTCTTGAAAATTGTAAGGACTTCTCAATTTACAAAAAAATGTAATGCAATAATTCTCTTTGAGCTCTTAAAAGCACATTTTATCTGAAAAAGATGCAGAAAGGGGTGCTTTCATTACTATACCAGAAGATGTTTGCATTTCTATTACATGTATATTAATTAACATGAACAATACTTTTTCAACAAGTTTGCATAAGCAAAACTAGTCCCTAGCTACCAGCAAGTGTAATATGGTTCCCATTAAAATAAAAAAAAAAAATTAGGCTGCAATTCCATCAAAAATTATTGAAGTAGAACAAAATACAAACTTGATAATCTCATCAAGATAGACTGACATAGACTGATATACCAAAAAGAAACTTCATATGTGCGAGTGTTTGGGAAAAAAGTGTGGAATACCAAGAGGAAGTCTGATTCCCTTTAGAAATTAAAACGACCATAATTCCATCAAAAATCATTGGAGCAGAACAAAATGCAATCTTAATTTGTAATTCATCAAGTTAAACTCACAAACTGAAAATCAGCTCAATATCAGCAAGCGTATAAAAAAAAAATGAAGAAAACCAAGTTGGAGAGACATGCAGACAAACGGAAGGACAGACAGCTAGAATGACAGATGGACAGACAGGAATATGTGGAGGAAAGGTATAGTCCCCTTTAGTTTCACTGTTAGGGGAACTAATAAAGACATTTCTTCTTTAACGTGCATTTGAACTGTAGAAGCATCTTAAGAAGATGACTGACCATGCCTGGTTACATGAATAAAATCACTGTTCTTTGATTTTCTGCAGGTTGCTGAGTAATGCAGAATGTATGAAGTTAATGTTCTCTGGTCAATATTTAATGAAGATAGAGCCTTATTTGAATGGCTTTGATCACCTGGATAATCAGTGGAGCTTGGCACATTCTCCATTCAGAATATGTCGGTTTCATCTATATCAATGCTTTTTTTTGTAGAAAGAAAATTCAATTTACTTGTTGCATCCATTTGATTTTTTTTTTATTTTTAAGTGATTGAGATAATGTTTGAAGTGTTTTAAAGTACAAAGTATGAGCATATTCATCCTTTCCAAAGCTGATTTTAAGTGTTCTTAAGGGAGGTGTTTATTTTCTTTGTTGTTGACAACAATAAGAAACTCCATTGATTCCCTGAAGGTTCAATGGTTAAGAAGTTTTCAATATTAAATGATGGAAGACGAAGATATTTCCCCCGTCCTTCTAGATACATGGTGAAAGGAGAGAGAAATTGATTACCGCTCCACTGTCTGCGTAGATAAAGTGTTTTCGTATTCCCGTCCAGGACACCTGAGGGGGTGAAATGCATTTATTATTGATTGACAAAGAAAACTGTAGATGGACCTCTTCCGAGGCGAAACTAAAGGCGAGAAGATATTTTATTAATTGACAAAGACGTGTGAATCTAGAAGAGATGCACTTCATGATTTTTCACTTATTTTGGTTTGAGTAAAGTCAAAATGGCATTTTTTACTTTCAACACGGTCTAGAGTTTTTATATGAAATAGCATTCATTGAATGAGAAGTAGGGAAAAAATCTGTACATTTCCTATGTTTATGGATGTTTTATTGTGCAAAAAAAATCTTGATTGCAAA